CTCAGAATTAAATTTGATAACGGAATAAGATGAAAAAATTCGCATCATACCGTCACAGGACGTTGATGATGCTTACACATTATTAACTTCCTCTGACGTTAAGTTCAGCATATTTTCGTCCTATTTCGTTACAAATTACTTATTTCAGAGTAAAATATGCTTTTTCTTGTTTACGTTTATATTCTTTACAATTATCACGGCATTATATATATTGTCTCATTTGAGTTTCATTATTTTACTATAGGTGATTTTTAGTGAACTGAATTTCGTCGGGTTGGTTTGGGCACCTTAGGCTGGGTTTGGGTAGCATAGGGTGAGTTTGGATAATCCTACTGACCAGAGTACCACCATGTCATTCTGTTCTAGTCATTTGCCATATCGGGTGTTCAGGCTACCTCACTACCTCTCAGGCTCAGGCTACCTCGCTACCTCACAGGCTCAGCACCTACACGTGAAGGATATAAGTACTTAGAGGCCTATCCCACATCTATGTGTATAATCACTGAATTTAAATATAGTTATGCATTGTGTAGAGGACTATCTGATACTTCTGATTGATCATTAATTTATTTTTCCTCTTGAAGATGTCCACGGTTGTTCCGGCAATATTTCTTATGCTCGCTGGGAGGGTGTTGAATAACCATGGACCTCTGATGTTTATAGTGTTCTCTGATTGTGCCTATGGCACCTCTGCTCTTCACTGGTTCTATTCTGCATTTGCTTCCATATCGTTCACTCCAGTACGTTGTTATTTTACTGAGTAGATTTGGTACTTGGCCCTCCAGTATCTTCCACGTGTATATTATTTTATATCTCTCGTCTTCTTTCTAGTGAGTACATTTGGAGAGCTTTGAGACGATCCCAATAATTTAGGTGCTTTATTGCGTCTATGCGTGCCGTATATGTTCTCTGTATTCCCTCTATTTCAGCAATCTCTCCTGCTCTGAAGGGGGAAGTGAGTACTGAGCAGTACTCAAGACGGGACAGTACAAGTGATTTGTATAGTACGTATAACCATTGTGATGGGATCCCTGGATTTGAAAGTTCTCGTAATCCATCCTATCACTTTTCTGGCTGACGCAATATTTGCTTGGTTATGCTCCCTAAACGTTAGGTCGTCGGACATGTCTATATCTGATATGAGAATAAGGAAAAGCAGTGGTGCAAGGACTGTACCCTGAGGTACAGAGCTTTTAACTACGCATGCTAAATGCTAAAAACTGCGCTTTTATATATATATTTATACCAATTACCACTGGAGAAGTGTAAAGTAATGAGGAGCTCCTCTCTCACCTCTTGTTGCAATAACTTCCGCTCCCTTCACTTCTGAGGAGAGCGGAAGTCACATCTTCATCTTCACTATTACCAGTCTCCACTACTACTGTATGTCGCCTCCACCACGTCTATTGAGTCGACCTCTATTATGTCTGTCGCGTCCGCATCCACATCTAGTGTATACACAATTATCACAGAGAGTGGCTGACCAATGATCGTTTTTTTCAGCATGAGCTGCCAGCGTCACACAGGTGCAGGGATAACTGCGCCAGGTGCTCTCGTGATCAGCAAGGTGCCTGGACGAAGACTTCGCTGGTATGAAGCTGTCTAACTCTTTATGTTAGCTCAAAAAGAGGGCAACAGGCTCAATGATCTGTACTGCACATTGATCCGTACCGTACAATGATATATTACAATGCCCGACAGATCACTGGAACATTATCTAACACAGTGCAGAGTTACAAACCCATTAAGATTTCAACTTAGATTCAACAGAGCAGAAGAAGTTGTTAAACACGTGGGACAAATCTTACTGAAGCGACCATACGAATCATAAATACTCATGCTCCGCCCAAGTAAAACAGAAACAAGCAACACTTAGTGGGCCAGCCAGAGGCTCAGGGCCCGCGCAGGAATATCCCTGAAAAAATTACATTGGCATGATGTATCTATGAGAAAATCTCTGGGAGCAATGCAATGGAGTTGAACTTACGTCTTGGGTTACGTAATACGTGTGTCTGAGGTCACCTAGGACACAAGTTTGACGCTACTGCATTGCTCCCAAAATCATTTTCTCACGATCTACTGTCAATTGTCACTGAGTCTTGCCTTCCGAGCGACACCGTTGACTGCGGAGTCCTCATCTATAATTTGGAGTGTACCTAGTGGGATCAGTGGTGGTGGATCAATAGTAATTACTGTATAGTGAGGATATTATGTGGGTTGGATGCAGACTTGATATTAGTGTAATTAATAGGTTTATTGACTTCTGGCATTAATGTGGGGAAAATACCGTGATTATGTTGATAAAGAGGAAATGCATAGGACATGGAAAATTAAGTACTGTATATATTACCGTTGAATACTAAAATAAAGTCTAATTCTTAGCTGAAGGGCAAGTGTGCTATGTTGGGTTGTAAGTCCACTCGTCTGTGTCCTTGATACTGGTAATGGGCTGTAGCTGGTAAGGTCCTCAAGGCACAGCTGGCTCATTGATTGTAGAACAACAATATACCTGCGGGTATTCCAACACATTTAGTTTGTATATTTTACAAGGATAAATTGATAAAGACAGTTCTATAACTGTAAACACTGCTAGGGTCCATGATCAAAGATCTGAACTAGGTATATAATTTAACCTAGCTCTAGAAATATTGTAACAGCCAATTATCAATTGTTCTGATACTCTCATCAAAGTAATTGTATAATACAAGGATAATGCATAGGCAATATGCAAAGGAAATAGTATATGCAATAAAATAAAATAATTTGATAAATTAAGATTAATGGATGTGGAAATTAAATATATGATGGGTAATACTAAAGAATTATATACACATGATATAAATATTCAGCAATAAAAGAGGTTTAGTTACTGAAGAAGGTAAATCAACTCATTAATTGGTGAGGAAGTGCCTCGCTGCCTAACGACTCTCAATTTATATATGAATGTATTAATGTCATAAAGCATACTATTGGCCAATCTACGCTCAAAACAAATAATAATTTATCCTGAAACTGAGAACCGGAGCCTAACCTGGCAAGTTATCAGACTGTATGACCTCTCAGGAGATTGGTTCTGTATTTTTTATGAAGACAAGGCAGCGTGATGCTGATTGAGTTCCATAGTAGTGTTTGCTGTGGGATGGATACTTGTGGCAGTGCTAAGGATTAAATGATGGTGGAAGCTTGGCAAGTCTCTGGGTACATGAGTCCACTCTCTCTACTCTTAATGAGTTCTTATGAACAAATTCTAGCTTAGATTATAGATCAGGGACTCCCAGAATATCTAGGTAGTGATTACTGGTAATGTAACAAGTAGTTTGTGCGGCAGTGCCCACTGAAACTGTCCTCTTCTTCTCTTCTTGATAGTAGGTGCAGTTTGCATTGAGGGATTGTCCTCCCGATGACTACACCAGTACACATGTTGGGAGAGGCGTTTATGTTGAGAATGATTAGAGCTTCAAAAGTTTTTGTTGTGTTGTGCTGTAGATAGAGGAGCGGCGACTAAAATAGAGGTGTATGTTAGAGGGAGACTTACCGCACCGTAGGACGGTGTGTTGTGTTGATGGCGTCAGCTGATCCATGATGTTGTGACGAGGCATTTGTTTTCCGTGCTTAGCTCTTGGTGGCGCCAGGGATAAATGTGGCGCGGGTCAGGTGTGGCCCAATTTTTTGGTCGACTGGAGATATTTAGCCAGTGCTTTGACCATTTGGTACAACCAACGACCTTAGAAGAGCTTTAAGAGTCCCTGAATCTTGCAGTGGCCACCCTGAAGCATTCAACACAGCCACTCTCCTGGTCAAAAAAGGTGTCCAGCAGCTGGACACCCTCATAAAGACTGTCAAGCAGTATCCTCCCCCACGATAACAGCTTGACGATTAAATGCAACCTCAGAATACTGAAAAGAATTACTGAACAAAAAATTGTACCACTTACGGGCTATTCATGACCGTGCCACCTCTTGGGTGGCTTAATCTTTATCAATCAATCAATCATTTGGTATTTTTCCTGTAACGAGAGGTCACCTCCTGATATATGTTCGATGGTAAAGGGTATTTTAAGTGCGATAAATACTCGTTTGAAATTTACTCTGGCGCTATGATGTCGGAAGCAGTGCAGGAGAGTGTTCGATTGTTTCAGGCACCTGACAGTGGATGCAGAGTTCGTTGATGTCTGTTCTGTACTTAGAGCTGTGTGCTGCTAGTTTGGTGTGTCCCAGCCTTAATCTGGTCATCGTTACATCAATTTCTCTGTTTTTATATCTGACATATTTCCAAGTTTCCCATTTCTTTTTAATGGACCCATAGTACAAAGGTGAGCATGACGTTTTCCATTTCGTCGCAAAATCTTGGGTGATGGTATTTTTGAAGGCTCCTTCACGTGCAACATGGGGAATTGGATGATGGGTAATGTGAGGCGTGTTGGGCATCACCTTGGCTAGTTGATCTACAAGTTCATTATGGAGAATACCACAAAGCGCTGGGACCCATTGGATAGAGGAATCATAACCGTTCAATCGATGTTTATGAAGTTTTAGATTAGCTTAGATTACATGTAAAGTGGACCTGCCCGAAACGCTGCGCGTACTAGTGGCTGTACAAGAGTGTAAATACTGTACTATCCAATGTATTCTCACAAACCCAATGTACCTTCTTGTATATATATAAATAAATAAATAAATAAATAAAAGTAGTTGAAGGCACGGGTAAACAAACCCCTCAAACACACGTGCGCCGCCTCTATGTCAACAAAGCAGGGCGGCCGTTACTGCGCCGCCGGCGTCCACTGACGGTGCCGGCAATGATTATAAATTGACTATTTTCATTATTTAGACTGATTATTGTGATAAAATTTATTTACAAGCTAAACACTTAGTGAATTTACAAATTATTGACAGTACTTAATAGTACAATTTGGCCTTTATTAAGGATTTTGAAAATACGTCACTGGAGACTATAACTTTGTTCCAACTTTGTTCCAACAATATTTTTAATATCAATTCCTCCTGGGAGCTTCTGTACAATGTTATATAGGCATTGAGCCCAATGATGTACTTGACCAAATGGTCATGAAGGCTCCTGATGTAGATACTGAGTATCTACATCAGGAGCACAGTATATAAATATATATATATATATATATATATATATATATATATATATATATATATATATATATATATATATATATATATATATATATATATATATATATATATATATATATATATATATATATATATATATATATATATATATATATATATATATATATATATATATATATATATATATATATATATATATATATATATATATATATATATATGTCGTACCTAGTAGCCAGAACGCACTTCTCGGCCTACTATGCAAGGCTCGATTTGCCTAATAGGCCGAGTTTTCCTGAATTAATATATTTTCTCAAATTTTTTTCTTATGAAATGATAAACTACCCATTTCATTATGTATGAGGTCAATTTTTTTTATTGGAGTTAAAATTAACGTAGATATATGACCGAACCTAACCAACCCTACCTAACCTAACCTAACCTATCTTTATAGGTTAGGTAGCCGAAAAACTTAGGTTAGGTTAGGTTAGGTAGGTTAGGTTGTCGAAAAACAATTAATTCATGAAAACTTGGCTTATTAGGCAAATCGCGCCTTGCATAGTAGGCTGAGAAGTGAGTTCTGGCTACTAGGTACGACATATATATATATAATTATATCCATGGACACAAATACATATACATATCAATAATCTTTTTATATCACAAGTGATTCATTCAACAAGAGGCTCACAACAGTCACTATACAAGGCACTTTACATGTATGATGAGTCACACAGTTACTAGTCTTGCTCCACACCCACCCAACTGGGCGGCAGCTTTACAGTCATGTGCTCCACACCCACCCAACTGGGCGGCAGCTTTACAGTCATGTGCTCCACACCCACCCAACTGGGCGGCAGCTTTACAGTCATGTGCATGCATTACCTACAGTAGGGAGCCGGTCGGCCGAGCGGACAGCACGCTGGACTTGTGATCCTGGGTTCGATCCCAGGCGCCGGAGAGAAACAATGGGCAGAGTTTCTTTCACCCTATGCCCCTGTTACCTAGCAGTAAAATAGGTACCTGGGTGTTAGTCAGCTGTCACGGGCTGCTTCCTGGGGGTGGAGGCCTGGTCGAGGACCGGGCCGCGGGGACACTAAAAAGCCCCGAAATCATCTCAAGATCATCTCAAGATCAGTATGCAAATCTTAGATACTCGGCTAAGATTCCTGGCAGTATATCATTATGAATGAAGTACTTACACATTTCTTGAACTTCATTGATGGTGTTATCTCTGAATTCCGCATTTTTCTCACATTTCATTATATAATGACGCAAAAGTATGCGAATAGTTCTCCTGACAGAGTTTACATTTAGCCAAATCTACATCAGCAAATGTTACAAACTCCCATAGATACTTGTAGCCAAGCCTAAGCCAAGCTTGATATCTGCTAGCTAACTGCTTGTTAGCAGTGATAACATCTAGAAGTCTGCTAACCTTATTGGATGACCCATAGACGTGCGGTTCTTCCTGCATAATAGAATGATGATAGATGGAGTAACTGGTGTGAATTTCACTTTGCCTCAAGTTTACGAGATTTTGTTGATGTTACCGGAATATTACTGCCCTCAAGCTGCTCAAAGGCAGTCCAAGATGGTAATCTTTGACTGCCAAGATTACCATCTTGGCAGATAGATGGTATCTATCTGCCAAGATAAGCTCATCCCTCTTTATGAGCAAAAATCTTGGAAACAGCGCGTAGCGTTAATAACGACATACAAGCCTACTATATACGCCTCTCATGACCTCTTTTTTTCATGTTATTACAAAAATATATGCAGACGATGAGTGGCAGTAACGTGGCTGAAGATATGATGACCAAGAAGATGAAGAGACGACGATGTTTCGGTCCGTCCTGGACCATTATCAAGACTTGATAACGGTCCAGGACGGACCGAAACGTCGTCGTCTCTTTATTTTCTAATGTGTGGTTTGGTCATCATTAGAGATTATAATTTTATTGAAAGTACATTTATTGATGTGTTGAATAATAAACGCTTTATTGTATTTCCTATGTGACACTTTCACGTTTTGAATATTAATAATTTAAATAATTATAATAATAATAATTTTATTGCATAATGTTATGTATATATATATTACACAAAAATACATTGGCATCTTACACATTATCAAATAAATCAGTTCTATAAAATACTGCAGTAGGCCTATACTGGTCAAGCAGGTCCTATTTACGTCAAAGTATTTGTATCACTAAATTTGTCTTTCCTGATTTGCAAAACTGTAATGGATTTGCTTCGCATTAAGATTATTTTCATTGTACTCGTCTATATAAATTTGCATTACAAGGCTATCAAGTCCTACTCAAATAGACACTGATGCAGATAATGCTCTAATACACATCTGCCATATATATATAATAATATCTGACAAGGGAATCTTCATTTTTGATAATGAACTGAGGCTAAGGGGCAATAACGGTTGTGCTTTCTATTTTAAGTGTTTCCCAACAGAAAGTTCGTCAAGTTTGGAGGGCAGAGTGAAAGTTTGGGCTGGGCGTATGGCAACACCGGCGTTACTAGAACAGAACGTCTCTAGCTATTGATGAGTTTAGTTCACAATGTTTCGTTCCTTGGATTATGAAAAGAACAGTTTAATTATGCACCATTTCTTTATTAAATAATATTGATGATATGACATAGCTCTTATAAACGTGTTTTGCGCACTATATGATTTACAATAAACGAATGTTCGCGCATTTATAATTGGTGTAATGTGAACGAAATGTTGAGAGACAGAGTTTCCGCAGATCGCTCCCAGACGATGGGAGTCAGCGGGGTCAACGAAGCTTCACTTCGTCTCCAGACCTCATAGCGTACGGGTCGTTTCCGCTGCTCCTCCTCTCATTGCTTGGTTTTAATATTTTTTTATTTAAGTGTTTATGAGAAGAGGAAGCAATTGCAGTTTACTAGTGCTACTTATTTACTGGTGTCCGGAACATAATCAAGGTAAGTTATTTATCGTGTGTAGTTACTCGAGCGGGTTTAGTGTTCTGCAATTAATAATGGGAAGTAAGTAGTTAGCAATTACGTTAAGCACGGACGATATTAAATTCTTCTCCGACATGTCTATATCTGTTTGTCTATATCAAATTAAAAAAAACTTCGTTCATACAAATGTTTTTGCATTTATAATAATTCATTGTGTCGGGGGACATTTAGCCAGTTTATACATACAGTATATCAAGTTCAAATACGTTTATTCAAATTCAAAATGTTTATTCAGGTAAAAGTACATTCACAGAATATGAGTTACAAACATAATGTTGGATTTATAGATAGCGCTAGTACATACAATACCTAAAGCCACTAATACGCACAGCGTTTCGGGCATCTCGAGACGAACTTGAGAAATTTGAACTTGAAATAAACTTGAGGCGTTTATTGAGATTGAGACAATTTATTGAGATTAATAAAATACATCTCAAAGGGATCGAGTGAGCTTAGGCTATTTCTACTTCCTCTACTTCAAGTCCCTCAATGGGCTCATATTCAGGTCTCCCCGCCCCCCCACTCCCCAGGGTCAAACTACTGACCCTCCCCAGGATGTAACCCCCCCACAGCAGCTAACTAACTCCCTGGGGTACCTACTCACTCCTAGGTGAACAGGTGCATTAGAAGAGAGGAAATGTGTCCAACCCGGGTTTGTTATTGTTAAGTTAGTTTTCAACATATTTGCAGTAAATTATTTACCCAAGAGTCATAGCATATGTAATCACTATAATTATATATTGTATAATCTAGATTTAAAAACGAATTTTACGAAAACATTTGATTGTGCCACACGAAAGAAAAAACAAAAGATTCAGGTTCAAGGAATTGAGGTGCTAGTCTAAATGGATTAGGGCATTTTATATAAAGGGAAACAAGCAGCATAAATGGAGTTAAGTCAGTGGGAAACTGTGGTCAGTAGGATGCTTCGAGGCGCTGTCCTGTGACCTCTATTGTTCATAATATAAATACATGATTTAGAATCAGTATTGAACAGCAATGTTTACAAATTTGCTGACGATACGAAAATCGGGAGGGGAATAAACTCACTCAGAATCTCAAAGTCATTCTAAGACGATTTTGAAATGGTAAAAAAATTGGCAGATGTAATTGAATGCTCACAAATGTAAGATTCAGAGGCTAGGTGATGATAGTTACAGGATATTAGCTGGGTGGTATTATTCAAGTTTTCAGCTAACGCCCTTAAATGCTGACTTATAATTAATAATTCATTGTGCAGCCAAAGTATATTCATACATGTTAGGCTTATATCGAGGTCCCCCCCCCACCAAGGTCAAATTACTGACCCAGCCCAGGATGCAACCCCACAACCAGCTGACCCACAATAACTTACTTACTGTTAGGTGAACAGGCGCATTAGGTGATGGAAACGCGCCCAACCATTTCGGGGTTGGGCGTGAATCCGACCGGGGTTCGAACCCGGAAATCTCGATTGCGAGTCGAAAACGAACCCGACTACTACCGGGACCCCTTAATATTGAATGTTGATTATTCTCAATATGACTTTCTGGTTAACATAATCAGCAATCAAAAATTCTCCCAAAAGTTAAAACATTTCTGTCTTCCTCTTGTAAGCGACTCGACCAAAGAGCTAGCTAGCTTTTTGTACTTATCCATTTTATTTATGTGTAAAAATATTTGTACAAGATCCCTGAAGAGAAATATTAAGTTCGATAAGAAGGCTAACAATGTCCGTCATATATGCAAACTTAAGCCATCCATTGCTCATTCAATAAAGGATCTACTAGGTCAGATTTTGGCTCTTGCAAAATGTTTTACTTCTTCCCTTAGTTGGTAAAGGCGTGCATGAATCCTTCTGCATGGAGAAGATGTCGGTGGTGTAACTCGGTGTCGGGAGAGTGTCAACGCTGAAATAGTGTAGTATCCGAATCATGTAACGGCTACATGATTTGGCCAACATTTTTCGCGGGCCTATCTTATGATTCCGGGGCGTTCCGTCCCCACGGGCATGTCCTCGACCAGACCGCCTCCTTGCTGGACTTATCAACACGACTGCTCGCAGCCTGATGTATAAATCACAGCCTATTTACAAGTTCAAAGGTTTTGTTTTATTATGTAAACCATCCTTGGACTGTGGCAAAAAAAGTATAGTCACTTGGTTCAGGAAACTACACCAGTGATCTTTATACTAGGCAAAATCCTTCGGTCAAGTAGATTACCCTCCTTTCGTTACCTAAGGGGTATCCTTCAGCAATGTAGTTTGTTTTTCTACCACAGACATGGTTATACCTTATAATTGTAACCATCATGTATACATTTTCTTCCGTCCTTCATGGACAGGGTTAGATATCCTCATTTACTAATTTATTTATTTATACAAAAATGTACATTGGATTTATGAGAGTACATAGCATTGATGTTGTTACATTCTTGTAAAGCCACTAGCACGCATAACGTTTCGGGCAGGAACTTAATCTAACAGATAATTTTAAGTAGGTAATTTCTAGCAATATTTAAAAAAAATTACAGGTACATTGTAAGAAAATTTGACTAAGATTAGTAAGTACATTGCACGCATTGAACATTAAAATAAAATTTGAGGGTTATCAACTGATACATTGTAGCATAATTTGAGGATTATTTAAAAGTTATAATGCAGTAAAATATGCGTTCAATATAACAACCATGATATAAGGTGATAGCAATGATTACAATGGTAAAGGTGTATGGCTTAGGTACATATATTGGGGGATTGGGTAACACTAGATACAGTGCGAGTTTAAAGCACTTTAAAGCACTATGTAGGAAACAATGAAGATGAAATTAGGCACTTTTTTGTTTTATTTTTGAATAAGGCAAAAGTTGGACAGCTTTTCAATTTTCAACTCTGTTTCCTACATAGTGCTTCAAACCCGCACTGTATCTTGTGCTACCCACTCCTCCAATATGTTGCTAAGCCATACAACGTCACCATTGTAATCACTATCAACTTATATCTTGGTTGTTATGTTGAACGCAAATTTTACTACAATGTACCTATTAATAATCATCAACTTAATGCTACAATGTACCTGTTGATAATCCTCAAATTTTACCATAACGTACCTATTAACTTTCTTTAAATTTTCTTACAATGTACCTGTATGTACTCAATTCTATGTACGCTTATAAACCCAGTGTACCTTCTTGTGTGTGTATGTGTAAATATATATATATATATATATATATATATATATATATATATATATATATATATGTATATATATGTATATATATATATGTATATATATATATATATATATATATATATATATATATATATATATATATATATATATATATATATATATATATATATATATATATACTAGTATATATATATATATATATATATATATATATATATATATGTGTATATATATATATATATATATACACACACACGAGTGTCAGACCACGGAGAAAGAATTGAAACAGGAATTTCCTTAAGTACTTTCGTATATTAATACATCTTCAGAAGGAAATGATGGTTTCTGTGTTTGTTTCCTTTTGAAGATGTAATAATATATGAAAGTACTTAAGGAAATTCCTGTTTCAATTCTTCCTTCGTGGTCTGTCACTCACATTTTTCATCACCGTGTTAATTTTCGTGATTTTCACACACACACACACACACACACACACACACACACACACACACACACACACACACACACACACACACACACACACACAGGTAGAGGGGCCTCGTAGCCTGGTGGATAGCGCGCAGGACTCGTAATTCTGTGGCGCGGGTTCGATTCCCGCACGAGGCAGAAACAAATGGGCAAAGTTTCTTTCACCCTAAGTGCCCCTGTTACCTAGCAGTAAATAGGTACCTGGGAGTTAGTCAGCTGTCACGGGCTGCTTCCTGGTGTGTGTGTGTGTGGTGTGGAGAAAAAAAAAGGTAGTTAGTAAACAGTTGATTGACAGTTGAGAGGCGGGCCGAAAGAGCAAAAGCTCAACCCCCGCAAAAACACAACTAGTACACAACTAGTAAACACACACACACACACACACATACACACACACACACACACATACATACACACACACACACACACACACACACACACACACACACACACACACATATACACACACACACACTGTGCCACGACAAAGTCGAAAGAATTGCAACCGGGAGTTCATCTGCCATCTCACGGATTCTGCAGTCTCTCCGAGACAAACCAGGGTTTTACACAACTCCCCCCATGCACCCGGGCTCTGTCAATAAGCTGTTCTACCTCTTCGCCCTTACTTCAGTACACACAGAAATCACAATAGCAAGAGGCATCTAATGATCATATCCACAAGGGCCGTGATGAGGGTTCGAACCTACGTCCGAGAGGATTCCAGATGCGCCTTAATCGACTGTGCCACGACACTGTCAAAAAGGGTTCGTAGGTTCAAACCCTGGCACAGTCGATTAAGATGCGTCTGGGATCTTCTGGGACGTAAGTTCGAACCCTCATCACGGCTCTTGTGGATTTTTTCTTTTACTGTATCACGCTATTGTGATTTCTGTGTGTAACTTGAAGGTATTATTGCCAAAGCTTAAATGTAAGTCTTGATGCCGTGTTGGCTTAACATTAATGTTGTTTAAAGAAACGTAAAGAAACAGTCATGCTAAAGTGCCCTCTCCTAACCTACCAGAGGACCCAAAACAGAAAACGAGACTCATTTTCGCAAGCCGCTTTCATTTTCTAGTGCAACAATTTTTTACTTTAGGTAAAGTATACGTCAAAATTGCGACGTACTATTAGGAGGACGGGTTGTAGTCGGTCCCAGCAATAGTAAGAATTAAAAACACGGTAAATTTGACGTTTTCTATGCATCGATCATGATGCACATACTCCCTGAAGGTTGCTCGGGTTAGTTCGCTTCTGATTAGGCAAATGTCGAATAGAGAGAAAATTTGAGCTGCATTGTAAGCG